ATAACTAAAAACAAAATAGAACAATTATAACAATATACTGTCATAAAAGTTATGTGAACATGGTATCTTTCTACTTTCTTAGTTACTAAGTGACTAGCAGGTGGGTAGCACACACATGTGGGTACAGTGGACAAAGGGGTGATTCACTGGGTGGACAAAGTGGGATGATGTGAGATTCATTATGCTACTCAGAACAGTGGGCAATTTAAAACATGAATTGTTTATTTCTGGAATTTTCCATTTAACATTTTCAGACCATAGTTGACCTCAGGTAAATAAAACTGAGAATACAGGGGACTGTATCATTCCCCTGAGCCTAGAAACTCTCTCATAATCTTTCACTCCCACCTCACCACACTGTGTCCACCCAGCCTCTCTGGTTTCCTTGTCCATCAGCGCATCTGCCTCTCCCCAGGGCCCCGACGACTCCTGGCCAATGTTCTCTCTCCTACCACACTCATGCTATGGCCAGGATAATTCCTCCTTTACATAGTTCTTGTCTTGTTATGGGGATATATGCATCGTGGTGATGTGACTCACTGCCAAAATATAGCACATGGTAACTTTTCTCTCAACAAAGTGACCAGCGATGCTCCAGACTGATACTGATTTGTCAGCCTGGGTTCTCAGAGTGATGATGACCTGCCATGGATATCTCATGTGAGAAAGAAGCAACCCTCACCCCTCAAATCTCAGAGGGGTCTTGTTACCACAGCATGGTCGAACTTTTCCTGAAAATGCCCCAGAGTCTCAGGAGTATGCGTGAAAAGTATGGTACACTGTTTCACAATTTTAGCTGAAATAACAGTTGATGAACTTTAGAATAACCCAACATTATGAACTACTACAAATGGATGGAATTAGACAAAGCCATTTGCCTTTCACCTATTGCTTCAGTTTTCAGAAAATTGCCCAAACTTATTGCAAACCATTTGCATTTTTGTTGGCTTGGTGAAGGGAGTTGGCAGGATCAAGTGGCCCCTTGTTTAAAGCCACGTCACTACTTCTGTAGAGAACATAACAAGTCAGAGGGAAGGGAAGTGTTTCCAGGAGACTTCTTAGAATGCTGGCAAGAGAAAACAAAAAGGGAAGAGTTATTTACAAACACGGGGAGAGGAGACAACACTGCCTTCCTAGCTTTGACTTTGTGACTTACTATATAATCTATTAAAATGACAAGTCCCATTTCCTATAAGCCTAAAGGTGGGTTATGCTCTTTGCCTAGGAAAAAGCCATGTGTATGAACTCTGTGCCCTAACAGAGCTCACAAGTTGGTCCTGAACAGCCTGTGTTCTGGCAACATGTAATGCTGTGGCTCTGTACACTCTTTCATTGAAGAAATCAGAGTATTTTGCAAATTAAATTAGGAAAATTTACAGCCCCATATGAAAAAAATCCAGGTTAATGCTTCATATTGGTATTACCAAAGAATGTATCACTTTACAAAGAATTTTTAACTCAATTCTTTTAAACTGGGTGTACAGTGAAGTCATTTAACATATAATTTCCTCTGCAGAGTGTTCCATCCCAACTCCTCTCCTGTATAAGTAGCTTATGAGGTTAGATTTTTTTTTTCTACAGAGAATTAAATATTAAAGAGGAATGGCTGAGAAGCAGCACCAGTTTCCTCCCATTTCCTCAAAGTGAACATAGCTTTGTGAAGAATGGAGACCAATGGTTAGGTTGGTGGCTTAAAAAAAAATACAGCTTTTCTTACTCTGATTCACCATAAACAAAAGGGTCCATTGGCAGCCACTAATCTTGTAAGTTGCAGGAGAAAGAAGAAAACAATCGCCTAGGGTTGGAAGAGCATTTGGTGGTCACCTGCTGTCAGCCTCCACTTTGTAGGTGGGAGAATGAGGCCAGAGAAGACTGTGTCCTAGCCCAACTAACTCAGCCAGAGAATGCCAGCGTTGGAATGAAAATGCCACCTCCTGAGTAACAGCCTGCACTCAGAGGCTGACTGAAATATTCACACAACAGGCAGCTAAATACCTGTGTACAAGGAAAAAGAACAGTTCCTCAGAGCTCTGTCCTTGGGCAAGCCATCGGGATCCCAATGGACCTCTTGACTTTTTTCCCCTATTTTCACAATTGTGTTGAATACTGTCTGCCCTGCCTCGAAGGCAGATTTATATGGAGAGTGAATGAAGTAAAGTCTGTGAACTTCCCTACAGGTTTGAGGTCAGTGTAAATGATAATAGTGCCAATTGTTGAGCACTAGGATGTGCTGGGCACTGTGCCAAGCGTCATTTCATTCTTATAGCACTGCTAGGAGGCAGGGCCACCATCACTCTCACTGTGCATTAAGACTGGTTAAATCACTCACCCAAAACCTCACAGGTTTGAACCAGGCCCAGCTGACCCTCAAACTGGAGCCTTTATTTGATCACCAATAATACTACCTCCCTTCCATGCATGTCACAGTCAATGGTAATAATTAGATTTGCATATACATATAGCCAAAGAGCCCTGAAAGAGATATTTATCTTATATGAACAATATCAAAATAACATAACATTTTTAGCATTTTCCTGATTTTCCAGTAATTAAAAATGATTGCCCTTTAAATTTTTCCATGGATATAGTTGCATTGTTTCTAACAAATTGTAGTCCCCCTCATTTTAAAGAATGAATTAGTGAGAAAATAGTGTTATCCAAACCAAGATTTCAATAATCTATTTTGTTTGTGTGTCGTATGAGTTTTTCTAAAATATTTTTCTTATATGCGAATGTGTAATTTTAAAAGGTTGATTTTTAAAATATTGAATTTAGGTATATTCCTCTTTTCTTACAGTTTCTTTATGATAAATATGAATTAGAGATTAAAATACTCCATTCAGGTTGGGCTCTATCTACAATAAAACTTCCACATATAGATAATTGACTGAAATAAATAACCTCCTCATGGACCAGAATCAACCTTTGGGATAGGCATTCACCTAATGATTTTCTATTTGTTTTCATTTCAACAAGCTGTTACTTTTGACGATAAATGTCTAATCTTTTACTGAGAAACACTTTGATTTTCTCAAGTCTGAGTATTTGTGATGGGAGCCGTGGGAGATTAGGGTAGAAGCTTCAACTTGAAAACCTTTGTCATTTTTTGTTTCCACCAAGACTAAGGTGTGAAAGTCCTTGGAGAGCAATTGGCAGCCCCTATCTCATCACTGCTCTCTCCCTCAGGAGTGATGAAGACATCAAGAGTTGTAGTGATTAAAATATTTTATTCTTTGTATTTATTATACTTCAACATAAAAAAAATCACTTCTAGTGGATCAATGTGACATGTGAGTAAACCAGAAGATGGCGTTGAAGATTAGCAATCACATTTAAAACATGGGAGCCAGTGAAGGCTCAGAAAGTTTCGTGCAGTGATGGTTGTTTTGAACTGCTAAGGGCAGAGGATGTGGATGAGTGAGGAGAATGGTGAAACTGACTAACCCTAGTGCAGAGAACACCTGTGTGAAAGCGCAGAAAGCTCTAGTTTGCCAATTTTGTACTTAACAGTCTTGTTTGGTATATTTGTGAACTTTTTGGGGAAAAGTAATTCACTGATTAAAATGTGATGCGACCTGAGGCAGCGATCTTTGTGCCCTGAGGGACACCCAGTTTCTAGAGCAGTTCCTGACAAGCAGTAGGCATTCAAGATATATTTGTTGAATGAACGAATCTGTGAAAGGAAAAGAAAGGAAGAAAAACAGGTTGTGACCAGAATTTTCTTGAACAAAACCCTGTTGTTTATTACATAGACTCTGACAATGTGATAATGGAAAAATTTACTTGGATAAAATAAAAATATGGCATCCTGTTAATTTCTAAGAATGTCTGTTAGTTTTAGGAAAAGCATACTTATCCATACCTCACTACCTGTTTTGCTCTAGCCTAAACTTACTTTCTTCTTTGATTAGGAGACATTGAGCCAATGTATAAGATTAAAAGAAAAACTGAGAAATAAGTGAAATCAAAAGCTTTTCAAAAGTTATGAGTTGACCTGGGGTGGTAGTGGCCTGAAATCATACAGAAACCAGTGCTCTGACGGTTTACCTGAAAACGCTAAGTCAATAAACGTGCGCAGAGCATCCAGGCTGGTCAGGTGACAGATCGGTGGGTGAAGGCTCAGGGAATTAATTTTGAGATTAAAGATATCTTAGAAAATTAAGTAAAATCTCGGGTCCACTTAAATATTTTTCCTATTTTGGACTTTACTATCCCACTACTAAACTACTTTCTATCAGGTTGAGGTTAAAACGACGTCATTTTAAGGTGAACTGAAAGTCCGGAAGCGATTAAGCACTGGGTTGCTTCAGGACCCGACCCTCGCCCCTCGCCCCCGCATTTTGTGTTGCTGTATTTGAAACTTGGGGGCCCGTGCACTGTCTCCGTCGCCTCAATTCACCGGTTTAATAAATACAAAATTATACCGTCAGCATTGCAAGCATGCAGACGCAGTGTGGAACCACAGTGCACAGCTCGCGGCGGACCATCTCCCATTTTTATGAGTGTTATGTTCTTTGAACACCGCGGAGGGGCAGGCTCCTGGCGTCAGTGGCCTTGCCAGGGGTGCTCCCGCGCCGCCCACCTGGGCCGTCCGTCGGCTACACGCTCGCGAGCGAAGTCGCCTTCGCACCGGATTCCCGCTACTACACGCCCCACTTCCCGCCCGGGCCACTCCGGGGCCGTTTAGCTGTTATTAGGCATTGACTGGCTCCCGGCACGTCCCGGCGCGGGGGCGAGAACCCCATTTCGTACCTCGCCCTTCGCGGGAAACGGCCCGAGCGACGGTCCCCGAGGCCGCGCGCCGGGCTGGTGCGCTCGCCCCGCGCCGTGCGCGGCGGGCAGGTCGCGGAGCCCAGGGAGCCCCTGCCCCGCTGCGGCCGCGCCGCGCCGCGCAGCGCTCGCCCGCGTGGGGCTCGCCTCCGGGCCCGGCTCGCAGCCACCTACCCCCAATCTCCGCCACCCGCAGGCGGAGTCGGCCTGGCCCGCCCGCCGCAGGCTCCGCCCCAGCGCGGCTTTTAAGCGCTATAAAGTTCCTCTTTCCCATCTCGCGCTCTTAGTTTCACCACTTGCACTTGGGACAGGCCGCTGCCCTCAGCTTCGAGTCCTGGGTGAGGTAAGGAGGAGGTGTGAGCCTGGCACCGGAGAGGAAAGGGCCCAGAGCGCGGAACAGAGGATCCATCCCATAGCAGTGCTGGGGACGCCGGCTTCGGAGTGGGGAGGGAGCGCGCCCCGCCAGGGACCCCGAGTGCCTCCCGAAGCGCCCGAGCAGCCCGCTGGCTCTTCTCGTTCCCAAACCCCGCGGGTTTGCCCAGCCCGCGCCCGGGACCACCACGCGCTGGACGGGATGGGCTAACGATGGGCTAACGGGTTTGGGGGTAGGTGGCTGCGAGCCGGGGCCCCGGAGGCGAGCCCCACGCCGGCGAGCGCTGGGGCAGCGCAGCCGCAGCGGGCAGGGGCTCCCTCGGGCTCTGCGACCTGCCCGCCGCGCACTGCGCAGGGCGAGCGCACCAGCCCGGCGCGCGGCCTCGGGGACCGTCGCTCGGGGCCGTTTCCTGCGGGGCCCCAGGAGTGGCTGAGGCGGGGCCGTCGAGGGACGTCACACAAGGCCTCGCTCGCTGGGGACAGCCCTTGACCCTGTCGGCTCCATTCCAAGGCTCCTTCCCCCCCTCCTCGTTCTTAAGGGGCCCAAACTCACCGCAGCGGCCTGTGCGAGGCTCCTCGGCTGGTGAAGGCCGAGGAGGAGCTCCGAATTCGGGTCGAGGCTTGCGCGACCCCTCGCCTCTCCGGCCGGGAAGCTGGCGTCGCCCTCCCCAGCACCCTCGACGCCTCCGCTGTCCCCCACGGGCCGCCTGGGCCAGGCTCACGCTCTGCGCGCCTGACTCTCCGGCTGCTCGGCTGCTCCTCGCCTAGCGCTGCGTCTCTGCCGCTTGTTGCTTCGAGGGTCCATTTAACCGTCGCGAGCTGGGGAGGGCTGGGGGTTGTTCTGGGGACAAAGCGCACAAATGCCGGAGGAGAAAGGGCGGCGGCGGGGATCTGGAACACCCAGCCGCAGGCGAGCCCGCGTGCCAGGCCCTCTGCGCGCGGGCACCGAGGGAGCGTGGATTGAGCGGACAAGAGTGGAGACTTAGTGCTGGGACGGATGGGCTGGAAACGGCCCGGGAGTAGGCAAAGGGGAGCGGAAATACAGGAGACCGTGCAGACGGAGTGCCAAGCAGGGTGGCGGCTGGAGTTCGGAGAGTGTGCACAGTGGGAGCTGCGAGTGCGGAGGGAGTCCCGGGGCTGTGGCGCCTTAAAGGAAAGGAGCGTGGCGGCAGGTGGGGTGGCGGATGGACTCTGCGGGAGGCGCGCTCTGGAGGCCGCAACACAGCTCGCCAAGGGGACGCTCCCGGATCCGCCCGAAGGTGCCTTCCTCAGGGGCCTTGGCGACACTGACGCGGCACCCGCGCGCTTCGTGGTCTCAGGGACTCCAGGGCCTCGTGTTCGCTGCCAGCGGGGTTGGGACAGGCAGGCTGCCCCGAGCGCTGTGCCCCGCGGCTGACGGGCGGCTCCGTCCTCCCCGCAGGCGGAGCGAGTGCGGGGCACGCGGGCATGAACCTGGACGGCGGCGGCCGCGGCGGAGAGTTCGGCATGAGCGCGGTGAGCTGCGGCAACGGGAAGCTGCGCCAGTGGCTGATCGACCAGATCGACAGCGGCAAGTACCCGGGGCTGGTGTGGGAGAACGAGGAGAAGAGCATCTTCCGCATCCCCTGGAAGCACGCGGGCAAGCAGGACTACAACCGCGAGGAGGACGCCGCGCTCTTCAAGGTCGGGGGCTCGCGGGCCGAGGGGCGGGTGGCCCCGGGGGGCGGCGGGGAGCGTCAGGTGGGGACGCCGCGAGAGGAGGAGGGGAGCGCTCGACTTCTCTGATCGCTGCGCAAACGGGAAGCCGGGTCCCCATCCTGAGCGCGTGGCTTGGGAGCAGGGAAATCCCTGGAGGGTCGTCCTGGGAGGGCGGTTAAAGGCCTGAGGGTTCCTGGTTGTTTCTCTGTGGGTTTCTCTTTCCGTCTGAGCCTGGACCCCGTCTCTGGATCCCTCTCTTCCCCTTTTGTCGGGATCTCCTGCCTCTTTCTTGGTGCACCCAGATTCCTGCGTTTGAGAAACTCTGTTTCTCTATCGCTCTCACTGTGTCGTCTTTGGTCTGTTTCTCTCTTCTGCTGTTTTTCTCTGAGTCTCTGTCTCTAGATTGTTTTCTTTTGGTTCAGTCTCTCTCCTCTCCTCCTAGCTCTCTTTGGGTATTTCCATGCTTCTGCCTCTGTCTCTCTCTGTCTGACTGTCTTTCCAAGTCCCCCTCTGGATCTTTCTCCCCTTGCCTTGTGTGTGCGCGTGCGTGTGCACAGCCATGTGGGCGCCTCTGCTGTGATTGTCCCCCCAGGGAACTGTGTCTTGCAGCGCAGCCCTCACCTGTGGGCAGAGCAGGGGCAGGGGACTTCCTCAGGGAATTTGCTCTGAATTTGCTCTTAAGCTACTTCAGCTTGGGTGACTGTCCAGATGTCCTCTGTGGGTGGCTGCCCACACCACAGCTCTGCCCTAGTCCTAGTCAAATGCACTGGTGGGGAGGGCCCACTCAGGGACTGCCACATCTCACCCCCCTTTCATAAATACCCAGACAGTGTTCATGTCAAACTCGGCAATGATAGGGTCCAAGGTGAAAAATATTCTGCCGGGGGACTACTAGAGTCTTTCTGTCTTACAGTTTGAGTAAACAGTATATGAAGCACCTAAGTACCATTCTTGCTTTTAAAAATACAATTCCCAGATTCTTTTTAAAAAGATCTGTGTTTTTAGTTTTTGATCTCTTCATCCTTTCCCACCAGGCTTGGGCATTATTTAAAGGAAAGTTTCGAGAAGGCATCGATAAGCCAGACCCCCCTACCTGGAAGACGCGTCTAAGATGTGCTTTGAACAAGAGCAATGACTTTGAGGAATTAGTTGAGAGGAGCCAGCTGGACATCTCGGACCCGTACAAAGTGTACAGAATTGTTCCCGAGGGAGCCAAAAAAGGTGTGGATCCTCCCGCACTGGGGCCACAGAGCAGAGGCAGTGTATACATGCAGTGCCTTAATTCCACTCTGAGGGTGGCCCTCTGCTTTTCTTTTTGGTTGCCTGATACCTGGGGCCTCGTGCTCAGGCCTACAAGCTTCCTGCCCAGGTTGTTTGGGCCATAAGTTGAAATTCTTGTGGTGTTAGCATAGGGTCATTTCTCACACTCTAAGCCTCAGTATATGTGTGTTTTCCAGTTAGTCAGTTTTATTAAGGCATGGGACAAATTTCAAAAAAGGAAAAAAACTAAAAAACTCATTAAAGCTTTACTTACCTAATCATCTTTGATGAGGAACCATTTCGTAGAAGGGAAGCATACATCCATATATTGTTACTATCTGTGGTAATAAAAATGTGGATTTTTAGAGTGTCAGTGGTCAGCTGGGGTGCTTATTAAAATTCAGATTCCTGGACTCCTCCTTCCAAGATTCTGGCTGGTGTGTCTGGAGTAGAGCCCAGGAATCTGCATTTTAAACAAATCCTACGGGTGACCTCACTTGGGAAACATCTAAGGCACATTCACACACAGTATTTCCTTTATTTATGTACTTGTCCTACACAAGTCAGACCTTATAGGAAAAGATGGCATGAATAAATAACTGCCCAAGCGAGTTGCTGAAAAATGCCTTATTTGTCCACACTGTGTTATGCATTCTAAGAATTAAACCCTCAGGTATTTTTCCAAGATTTGACATTTAGTTAAGTCAGTTCCTTTTTTCTCTCTGTGCCATTTCCCTTTTCCCCAATCACACAGGAGCAAAGCAGCTCACCCTGGAGGACCCACAGATGACCATGAATCACCCCTACCCCATGGCGGCTCCTTACCCCCCACTCCCGGCCCAGGTACAGTGGATGGTGGCCCTGGGCGAGGCGAGGCTGGGTCTGTGTGAGGCCGTGTGAAGCGCTGCCTGGCACAGGGGAAACACACCATTAACAGCAGAACTTGGTCTTTGCTATGACTGGTCCAACTGCGTGAATGTCCCACTTTCCACGTGGTGTTGCTGCCGGTGTTGGTTTTAAGTAGAGGAGGGTTGGGTGTGTCCTCCTGTGGGAATATGCCTTTCCTGATTCTCAAATCTTCTGGGAAACAGACCTTTTGTGAAAGTAGAAGATTTGGAAGTAATGCTATATCATGTGAGACCACAGGGCAGCTGATCGCTGTAGTCTTTCCTGATGTGAATGACAGCTCTGTTTTATCCACTTTGGTGGGTAAAAGAAGGCAAATTTCCCTGCAGAAGTTTTGGTGCCAGATGTAGCCATATGATGAAGCTTTACATATTATAAAACATTACAACAGTGTCTCCATTGTGCTTTTTGATAGTATGTGGCCACAGACTTTGTGCTTTTTGATAGCTTCCACTTAGGGTGAAATGATTGGCATGATTTGGCCACCAGCCTAACAAGGGATTCCCTGAAGAGTTTGGGAGGATATAAGAGCACGCCCTTTCCCGGTGCCAGTGCTTTTTATCTCAGCTTCCCCATGTTTTTTTAGCAGGTTCATAACTACGTGATGCCACCCCTCGACCGAAGCTGGAGGGATTACGTCCCTGATCAACCACACCCTGAAATCCCGTACCAATGTCCCGTGACGTTTGGACACCGTGGCCACCACTGGCAAGGCCCAGCTTGTGAAAATGGTAAGGAAGGCACTGGAGCATGGGACAGAAGACCTAATTTGGCCGTGGGCTGTGGTGAACCTTCGTCTGTTCTTCTGGGTGGCACTGCAGCTCTTTGTCCTTCTCAGGGGCTGCTAGATAGATTTCACGTACAGTACAGGGGCGAGGAGGATTTTCTCTGTCCTGCAGGATGGTGAGGTCCCAGAACAAGTTTAGTCTCAGGATCCATGCTAGGCATTGCCGTACATGGAGTCTTATTTAAGCATCACAGAGATCATTCCAGGTAGCTAAAAACACCCTCCACCCTTTTTTTAATAGAGGAGATCTTGGAAGCTCACAGAACACCATGAAAAACACATAAAATGTTCCTGCAGGTGCCTAGCTACTGAGTCCCAGACAAACCTGCTCATTCAGGATTTTATGTGGTCCCATGCCCATAGGAGTTCCCATGACATCGGAATGAGCTCACTCAGCAGAAGCACTGCTAGGTGCAGGGGAAATTTCACAAGGTGTGCTGAATGCAGCAAAACTCAAGCTTTCAAGACTTTGGGGTTAGTTATTTAAATAGAAGTCTTGAAAAAGGTCAACACACTGATCCTTTTGGATATTCTAGGATTATTTGCTCCTTCACAATTTGGCCGATTTGCTTTTTTTTCCCAGTCATGTTCAAGTCATCTTGGGCTTCTGGTAGTGAAGAGGTGCACCATTATTTAATGTTGGTATTTTGTGGCATGTTTACAAAAAAAGCTCAGAATTTGGTTGTATTGGTTTTTCAAGAGTGATTTGCAGCCAAGGTTGTTTCCCACATCATAGTGGAGGAATCAGTTAACATTAAACTAGCTTCTGAAATTCAGACCTGTGTCCAGTGTATCAGCTCTCTTGAACTAATAACCATAGTAAAGAGGCAGTGTTTAGAATTGTGCAAAAAGATGGAATAGACAGACATTTTGAAGCATAGGTAAATGAAGTGCCAGCAAAAGAAGGTGTTCTGTTACATGTTCTTTCTCTATCCATGCATGGTTGAGTTTTGTCCTGCACCCAGAAGTAGCAAGCAACATAAACATGGACTAAATCATTTGTTAGTTTTTAAACGGGCTCTTCGGTGTTAGAACTCACATGGACCTGAGCTCTCAGCTCTGCTGTGAACTTGCTGTGTGAACAGGGGCAAATAACTTAATCTCTCTGAGTCTCGGTTTCCCTGTTTATCAATTGTGGAGAGAGAGTTTCCTTCTAAAGCTGTGCAACAGCTCTTTTCTCCTTCAACTCTGGTTTTTCCAGTGGAACCTGGGCTTGTCCTTGCCTCACAAGAGCGTGCCCTGCCAGTTGCTCATGCCAGGTGTGGGTTAGAAGGTGAGTGTAAGGCTCTTGCCCTTTTCTTCCCAGGCTTAGTGCACACCTCAGGCAGCCTCCCAGTGCATCGGACTCTCTATTTAGACATCATCTGATTTTTATTTGCAAATGCAGGTTGCCAGGTGACAGGAACCTTTTATGCTTGTGCCCCACCTGAGTCCCAGGCTCCCGGAATCCCCACAGAGCCAAGCATAAGGTCTGCTGAAGCCTTGGCGCTCTCAGGTGAGTGCAGCGTTTGGTTCTGGAGGCACCTGCAGGAGGCCAGCCTCTGCTGCTGGCTCCTCGTCATCTTCGGGTAGATTTGATGGACATTTATACACTCGCTTTCCTCCCTTTGGGGTCCGAAGTAGGTGTAGACCGGTCCTGCACTCAGGCTGGGCACCACAGTAAATAATGAGCACTAGCAGAAAACTTGGCAGTGAGAAGCCAGCTTGTGACTGTGATGACAGGTCCCCCAGCTAGTTTGAATGGAATCCTTTTAACTTCTCCATTGGCACCTCTCAGAATCTCCAAGAATGTGCAAATACTCCAATTCCCTTTACTGAGGGCCCCCTTCAGCCAATGCTCTCACAATGTAGAATAATTTGTTAGGAAAGTGCAAAGGCTTCTCATTTTGAGAAGCTGACCATCCTTCCAGGTTTAGACACAAACATCCTCCTCACCTGCTCCCCAGGGACATTAGTGCTGGTCCCTCGTCTCCGTAATGTTAGTGTGCCTAAAAGTAATGCACATTTTGGTCTTCTTCTGAACTTTAATATAGCTTACAAATAAATATGATTTTTAAAGTTCCGTTTCTAAAAAATGTAAAATTCTCCAAGATCTTACCTGTTTTAAGAAAGGCACCTCAAGGCTTACTAGCATGTGTGGTACATGTATATTTATTTTATAGATAATATTTTGGGTTGCTTTTAAGTGGGATTTGTATTTATATTAAAAACAAATAGCTTAAAGTTTAGAATTCTCACCTTGCCCCCTGACTTCTTTAAAAATATGCAACAGAAAACAAACTAAATTCTGAAGGTTACAGAGAGATGAGAGTTGGCACTTTTCTTGCTTACAGGGGACGTGGAGTTTTACCTTCCAGCTCCTTCCAGCTCTGAAGTCCCCAGTGAGACAAGTGCTTTCCTTCTGAGATGCTCATGAATAACTAAGGGTACCTTCTCAGAGGAGGGGCTTCCAAGCAGGAAGGCTTGTGTTTGTTTTTAGAAACTTTCAAACCCTTTTCTTGAGTACCTAAGACTTGTGTGGGTGCCTAAAGAGTAGAAATAAACAGCTATTTATATCTCTGTGACCTCGTGATTTCTGACAACATTAAATGAAATGAAACCTGCCCCACGAGTCACCTCAAATGGCCACCACCCACTCTCCTTGGGGCGTGCCGTCTGACTTGCTCTCAGCTGGTGTATCAAAGCAGAGGATTGAAACAGTGATGTGGGCTAAGTCTCAAAGCCTGCCACTGAAGAATAAGAGGGTTTGTGGGTTTCTCATCCGGGTGTGCATAATACAGATTGACTGCCAGCCTTGGGCATGTTGATGGGAGAGCCGTGATTCCCGTTCACTGCTAAGTCCCAGGCAAGCACCGGTGGGCGTCTGCCTCCTGTCCTAGTTGCCCTCTTGCAATTCGGTTTAGGAGGCTTTGCAAACCCTGATTGGTTCTTTCAGTCTGCAGGTGATATTTTAAAGATATTTCTGAAATCAGCAAAATTATTATAAATGGCTTCATCTTGTTTTAAGTTTTAGTACAGTTTTAGAGTTCTTCTCAAACTTGAACACAAAGCGTAGTGGGAATTTCAGCAGATTAACTCCTAGAGCATTTGTCTCATTAATTGTTTTCACAAGAATTACTTTTATGGTAAAACCAGCATATATCCAGTGTGGAAAATCAATTTTAAAACCAGAAAAACAAAAATAGAAAATAAAAACATCACATTCCACTACCCTTTCAGGTTCTAAAAAGGTGAATATACATTTATACACACACATACATATATAAAAATATATACACACACATAAACATATATAACCTAAATGATGTCATATTGATACTGATATTTAGGAAAGTTTCAGGTATGTGGACATACTTTCTTCTCTCTGAAACATCATTATAGTTTTTTGCTAATAGAAATTAAACTTTCAGAATCAAAATTGATTTGCTTAAAGATGAATTCTCATTTGGTGACACATAGTATTTTAGACATAAATGTTGTTACCACTGTCAGCATCATCATCCAAAAAAAGTGACTTATTAAATTCTTAACAGTGGTGTTCTCTATTATGAGGTAAACATATTCTGCAAAAACTTAATGAAAGATATGGCCCCTCAAAAAAAAAGCATCTGTGGCCACATAAATTTGGAAAATGCTGGTTTGGACAAATTAAGTAGGTTTCTCTCCACAGGACTCTAAAGTGCTGGACGTGCTCGTACTGTCTGTGGCTCCCGGCGGGGAGACACGGGTGCAGCAATTCCCAGACTCACTTGAGGCCTGGAACATTTCACTCGTGTACAGAGCATCTTGGGACTCTGGTTTCACCAGACACGCTTTGCTCTGGGCAAGTCTGCTCTGGGCCGTTCGTTGGCGTCATGGCAGGTGACGTCGGCCCGCTAGCACTGACTCTGAGGCTCTGTGTTTGCAGACTGCCGGCTGCACATCTGCCTGTACTACCGGGAAATCCTGGTGAAGGAGCTGACCACGTCCAGCCCGGAGGGCTGCCGGATCTCCCACGGACACACTTACGATGCCAGCAACCTGGACCAGGTGCTGTTCCCCTACCCTGAGGACAATGGCCAGAGGAAAAACATCGAGAAACTGCTGAGCCACCTGGAGAGGGGTGTGGTCCTGTGGATGGCCCCCGACGGGCTTTATGCCAAAAGACTGTGCCAGAGCAGGATCTACTGGGATGGGCCCCTGGCCCTGTGCAGCGACCGGCCCAACAAACTGGAGAGAGACCAGACCTGCAAGCTCTTTGACACCCAGCAGTTTTTGTCAGGTAACATATCTGCCTGCCCCAGAGGCGGGGCTCAGAAATGACAGGATCCCTTCTACCTCTGGCTGAAGTCTTCCTCCTCTTAACCAGGGGAGCCCAGCAGGCTTGATCCCAGACTAGGTCTAGGTCTCCTGTCTGACTTGAGTCTGACCTGTGGGATGGAGGGGTGAGAAGAGGGTCCGGATGAAGGATGAGATGGCCCAGGTGGACAGTGACTGAGGCTGACTTCTTGCAATTCTAGTTTTCAGCGAAGAGTCACCTCTTAACAAGGTTACATTTTATTGCAGTATGATCTCAGCAAGCATGTCTGCTGATGTGGCAGCTCTTTTCAGGTTCCTAGAAAAATTATAAAGGTTAGAAGTATATTGTTAACATTCTTGGTTATGAGATGTGTCACCCTTATGCAGATGCTGCCCTGCAGGTGGGACCAAGGATTGAGTATGCTAAACTGATTTTGCAAAGAGGAAATTATGAGAGTGCTTTGAGTTATCTCTGTGATATGAATGTTTCTAATCCTATTTTTAAGAATCAGTAAGTTTTGTTTTCCTAGTTTTGATTTCAAGATGATTAAATTAGCCCTGGGTTGCCTTTTGTGAAACCACTGGCCATGTCTCTGCTGGAGCTTCATCTGGCTGTCCAGATGCAAGATGCCATGGTTGGGGTAGAGAGCTGCTCTGCCTGCCAGCTAACTGCCAGTTCTTCCTCTGCTCTTTCCTAAACCTATTCTTTCATGAGGTCCCCTTCAGAACTACCCTGTGGTCTTTGGTTTTTCACATGCCTTCCCTTTTCCTGAATATGCTTCTTCATTCAATTCATTTAACATAAAAATGTGAGGCACCTGGGTGCTCTGGCACTGCAGACATTTGCTGACCCTTTAGGGTGTAAGTGGCCCAAATTTGCATAAGCTCATCTAAACTGTCTTTCGGTGCCCAAAACAAATAGTGTCTGTAGATAACTGACCTTCACACAGAGGCTGACAAAAGGATAAGGGAGAACTGTGTCCCTTCTGAGGCAGTGGCAGGTGAGGAAGGCACCCGCCCAGACAGCTCTCCCTCTAGTGGCAGAACTGTTTGCAAGCCCCTGCTGGGACCACCTGTGTTGAGGTCAGTGTGATGCTAATGCAGGGAACTGAGAAAGCCACTAAGGGGCACCCCATTGGCATCTCCTGTGTCTGCCTTGGGGTCTGAAAGAGCCCACATGTCCCAGGAAGGCTGAGGCCTGCTGAGTCTGGATTTCTTCAGAGACTGTGGATCTCAGTGTCTTTGGGTTCATAAGATACCACAAGGTGAGGGCTTTCTAATTAAGGCATCCCAGGAAACTGGCACTTGCTTCTCTGAGTTTCTCTTGCCATGCATGTTTTAGGAGATAGAACCCCCATTGTGACCAGGCTACTGTAAAGCACGCTTTGAGTCACAGGTGCGCTGCGAGAAGGCGGGGCACCAGTGAGTATCCGCAAGCTGCGAACTCCCTTGCTCAGAATTTAATATTTATCTGTGAGCAAGAGCTGCTCTGGTTTTTACCCCTTCATCTGTAATCCGGGGCTGTGTTTTTTGCCCATTATAACTTCTTACCTCAAAGTGTTCACTGAGGTTCTAGGAGGGTGCTGTGAACTTAAAAACTGCAGCTGTGTAGACCAGCTTCTGCATGATTAAGGATTCCCACTGAATGTTCTCATGTTATCAAGTGTTTGAGGCATGACTTTTTCAGAGAATTGTGCCAGCTTGCCACTCTGATCGGCTTGTGTAGGTGTAGTCTCAAACCACGGCAGTGTGCATGTATTTTACACATTCTGACTAAGTCGTTTGGGTTTGATTTGAATTCTGGAAAAAAAAAAAAGGCAGGAAGTCAAATAGTCCTGTGAGTTAGCTAGAAACGTTTCTTCAGTTGAAGAGAACAGTGGAAATCTTTGATATCTACCCCTTCAGGATTTGCACACCACCAGGGACAGCCCCAGAGGCCCGGCCCGAGGGTGTGTATCTGATAAGGACACATCCGAGGAGCTGTTGTGCGGAAGCTTTAGTGGCTCCTGGGTAAACTCCGCTGTTCTGCAGACATAACATTTTACTGTCGCTCTAGGCAGGAGAGCCATCTTGCACATGGGCGGAGAGCATGGGTCAGCCAGAGCCGGGGCGCACATCTGCCCAAGGCACTCCCGTCTGTTTGTCACCCTTCGGATGGGAGTGGTGGCTCCGGCCTATGCGTATCTGTGAGCATGGGGCCAGTGTGCTTCATCACCGCCTCTCTCATATCAGGTTATCGTCTGTCCCACAACGTGTAGGCCTCACAGATGCCCAAGCAGTGCTCAGTCCCCGGGCTGGCCTTGCATGCTTGCTGTGGTGCCGAGTCCCGTAGCTGTCCTCAGTAGCACAGACACTTGATTATGTGGCTCTGTAGTTGGGGAGGAAGTTTTAAAATAATCCTGGAATATCAGAACATAATGATTTTTTAAAAGGAAATTTTCTCCTTTGCATAAGTTGGTCTTTTGCCTTAATAGGACTACATTTCTTCTTTTTCTCCCAACTTCACTCCTGTCTGCTACCTTCTGCCCCTCATGGGTCTGGCACTGCAGATCAGTGTTTGTAAGCCTGGGACCACATGTCCCGTGAAGAATCCAGGGGAGCCGCACACACTGTCATGAAGCCCATGGGATTTTGTGTCTAGGGTGGCAGGTTAAGAGCCTTGCTGAGGGAGACAAAGCATGCCCCTTCCTCCTGGCATCTTCAGAGTCACAGAATGCTCTTGTTTCCTGTTTAACCTGGCATTGTTCAGTGATGAGGGTTTCTGAGCATCATTTGTTTTTTTTTTCTTGTGGGCCTCTCCAGAGCTGCAAGCATTTGCCCACCACAGCCGCCCCCTGCCAAGATTCCAGGTGACGCTGTGCTTCGGGGAGGAGTTTCCAGACCCCCAGAGGCAACGGAAGCTCATCACGGCTCATGTGAGTACTCAGTCAGTTACATTCACGTAATTGAGTGTCCCCGTTCTGTACCAAGGTCAGGGACTCGTTTAGAGAAGTCCTAAACGTGAAGTGAATAGTGCCAGAGGAAGCGCAGCCCAGAGGGCGCACGGCCCGGGCCCCACACGTGCTCACAGACATGAGATCCGCTCACCACAGACCTGGGGAGGAGGCCTCAAACCGAGGGCACCACCTGTTCCATCCTTCTTATTTTTCAGGAAAATTGTCATATTCCCATTTGATAGGGATTTAAAGGGATTGGTGCTAAAAGTTGCCAGGGAGATCCTCCGTGTCTGAGACTGCTTTGGGAACGCTGTCTAGCGCGCGGCTCTTCCCTTGGGGGAGAAGCTTTTCCCAAGCAGAAGCTGTCCACGCAGGGGTGCACTTATTTTGTGGGTCCCTCCAAATATTTCACAGCCTCTCTTTCTTTCTGGAATCTTAGAAATTGTTTAATTATTGGACATATGTTATTTGAAAGAAGCTAAGTCTGTCAAGGAGTTCAAGCAGGCGAGAACCATCATGTTCTCTGACATAGTTCAAGATGGGTTCAACTGTGGCAAGTAAATGTCTTTTTCATAAAAAAGAAAAAGGTTTCTACAGATAATATTTAGCATTAATCACGAATACCTAAGATTTTTTAATTTGAAAACTTCACATTGCTACATACCTTCAAGAGCTATTAATGGGCCCAGATAGCGAGCGATCAATACCAGCTAAAAAATTATACCCGTAATATCAAAATGTAGATCTTATTTTAGCTCTGATGATATTTCCTGTTGAAAACTGAAATAAAACACTACTTTATCTTGAACACAGAAGCCCTCCTTCTTCATTGTAAGATTGTAAAAACAAAAAACAGCCAACACACTAACCAAAATATAATCCCATAGACTTTTCTCATGAATTCTCTCTAGTGATTGACATAATAATTGATATGATTATTGATATAATAATTGATACTTTGTTAACAGGGGTTGCTAAATCGCTAAATAAACTTGTCATTGCTAAACAACATTTAAGAAGTTGATGATCCACTCTGGCATCAACCTGATTTTAAGGGTTATTTGGATGCAAGGCTCTCCTGAAAATGGCGCTGTATGGTCCATAAAAGGAAAACATACTCATGTACATCCATGAGTTCTACTTTTTTTTATTATAGATTCAATTCATTTCAGGTTCTTACATAGGAGTTACGCTTAAGTCATTATATATTGAATAACATAAAGACTCAATTTAACAGCATAATTTATTGAGAGCTTTCAGCTTGTCTTAGATGTTATAAGATCAGGAAAAGCTGGAAGTTGAGGGTTTTTTCTTGTGAATGTGATCCATACTAATAACCAAACTAGATAAATGTGAGGTCAATTAACTTCTCTTTTCCCATGATAGCAGTTTTGTTGTTTAATTTTACTTTCTTTTTCTTTTACCTTTGGTTTAAAATTATCTAGATTGTCTAGAAATGAAGTCATTCCGGATGAGTTCTGAATGTCAAACTCTGCAAACTGCAATTGTGGAAAAACAAAATCATTGGCTTAAATTACTCTGAATATTACCTAAGACTTCCTTTTAATTTGATTATTTTATCTAATCTGCTTTGGTCTTAGTTAAATGTAAATATTAAGTGGCAGTTGATTGAAAAGCAGCACCATTAACCCAGAATTCAGTACATTTTGGTTACTTGTTTACAGATGGCTTTACATAAGGACTAACTAAAAATTGGTTCTTCAATGGCCCTAGATATGAAATGTTTTGATGTGTTATAGCATAAAACCTTGGACTTTACTGTTCCTTAGAATTTGAGAGGTATTTAATGATGGGCTGATTACAGGACATCTCAATAACATCTTTTAAAATCTCTTATTAAAGGTGGAGCCTCTGCTCGCCAGACAACTGTATTATTTTGCTCAACAAAACAGTGGACATTTCCTGAGGGGCTATGACATGCCCGAACACATTAGCAGTCCGGAGGATTACCACAGATCTATCCGTCACTCCTCCATTCAAGAATGAAAAATGGAAAGACAAGTGATTTTGTTTCATTGTAAATATTTGACTTTAATGAGGATAGACCCAGTCTTGCCCACATCTTGCCCACATCTTTTTCTCTTGAGGAAATCAGAAATGGGGCTTCGGTTCAGCAGTTGAGCATCACAGCAAGAGTGTGTGTAGGAAATTGGCTGATTAAAGGACGAGCACATTCCCAAAAGGAGGATGGTCTTCCCGGTCTTCCCAAGACAATGATTTCAGTGTTCTGTAGACTGCTGTCATCCACGATAACTGTGAAAATTGACCAAGTGGTGTGTTTACATTTACTTAAACTGCCCTTTTTAATTTGGTGTAGATCAGTTCTTGCTTGGAGTAAGAAAACTTGTGTTTCAGGATTGGCCACTGACTAGAGTGATAAAAGCACTCAGATGGTGTTGTACCATTTCTCAGGGAAGTAAAGTCTAAATTGGAGACAACTCTGCCCACAAAGAAATGTATTAATGTATGTAGGAGCTGTAGTTTTTGTGGAAAATGCTTGCTGAGTGAAGGAAACTGAATCTTTGACTGAGGTCCAGCCATAATGCCTGTGCACCTGCCGGGGTCTCCTGCTCGTCCACCTGGCCTTCCATGTGCACCTCTCCTTGGTCTCTCCCAGAAGCCAGTTGGGTAGACTCTTACTATTTTCTTGAGGCAAAAAGTATTATGGCCACTCTTGGATGGGACATTTTTGTCTGTCCTACAATCCAGTGATGTTTGAGAAATGGTTAAGATTTTTTTATGTCACAGTATTATGGGCTACAAAAGTTTCAGTTACATATATTGCTTTTGCACCACCTGACAAGCATGCCCATCTCCCAAAGAGCACACAGTGGGTCCGTTAGGTGTGGATTTCCCAGCCTCTCCCTGCTCCCACCTGCCTGACACTCTATCATATGTGCACATAAGTGTTGAACAATTAGTACCAATTTGCTAGTGAGTACATGTGGTGCTTGTTCTTCCATTCTTGGGGTACTGCACTTAAAAGAATGTGCTCCAGCTCCATCCAGGAAAATGCAAGAGGTGGTTCACCATTGTTTTAATGGCTGAGGTTAAGATTTTTTTTTATTCTTTGTCTTTTTGTCTCTCATTCTTTGGAAATGATTGCCAAAGCTTTTTTCTTAAAGATTTTTTTTTTAAAAAAAGATAGAAGAGCAACCGTCCGAGTACTGAAGATGTATTTTTGAAATGTTGTGCCATTTCCCCTCTTCTGTTTGTTTGCTGGGCTCCGGCCATTACCCGCGGTAACACTGCAGAGGAGGGCCATGATCTCAGGCTGGTGAGCTCTGTCAGGGCGCAGGAGGGCAGGATTAACTGACTGTGCAACTGCAGACTCAGGCTTTTTCTGCCTATTTAATATAGTATATGCTTCCTCATGCCAATTATAGTTTGACAAGGCTTTAAAATTACTGAGCTTTTTCCAAATACATCTTTTTATAGAATCCCAAACATTTCTACTTGCTTAAGTAAATCTGATCACTTACATTTTTGTTGTTTATTTTGGAAAAGTGCAGCTGTTTAGATGGGGTGTAGCACTCCAATACTAAATAATACTCATACTAAAAAATAATTGCCATTAATTCCAGGCTCAGCAAAAGATTTGATAGTTCTCAAATATATGCTACTCCTATTCTTATCTGTATTTTTAAATTTATTCAACAAGCACACATTAAATGCTCGCTGTATCCCTTGTGTTACACAGGTTTTAGCCTTTATCGAGTTTTGCAACCAATGAAGCATTGGAATGTCTTTTTTGGTGATTTTTAAAAGGGGTTTTCAATACAAAGATAATACATATTAACTACAGAAAATGTTAACAGTATAGAAGCGCAAAAAATATAAAGCATCTCCTTTTTCCCAGCCCAAATTCTTCTCCCTAGAAGTGTCCACAAGAAGAGTTCAATTTGTTTTTCCAACACATTTCACTTTTCTGTAAATATACATGAACTTGGCCAGGCACGGTGGCTTATACCTGTAATCCCAACACTTTGGAAGGCCAAGTCAGGGGGGATCTGAGGTCAGGAGTTTGAGACCAGTGTGAGCAACACAGAGAGACCCTGTCTCTGCAAAAAACACAGTCACAAAAATTAGCTGGGCGTGGTGGTGCATGCCTGCAGTCCTAGCTACTCTGAAGGCTGAGGCAGGAGAATCACTTGAGCCCAGGAGTTTAAGGCTGCAGTGAGGTATGATCAGGCCACTGCATTCCAGCCAGGGTGACAGAGCAAGGCCACGTCTATCTGTCTGGTTTTTTATCTATCTATATATATATATACGCATACACAGCCATACATATGGTTAAAAAAAAACCATGGAGCCCATTTGTACACACTTTCATACAGTGTTATTTGTATCTGGACAGCAAAGACTTACCTCATTCTTTTCAGAGGCAATATTGCAGAATTCCACTGCAATGTGCCAGGAGGGTTTAGGTTTAAGATATTTCAGTAGCCACTCAGCATGGATATGTTTTGGGGAGCAGATAGTGTCTTGTGAACTGTAGTAATTTATACATCTTATAGATGCAAAGAATTTTAGGATATATTATCCTAGGAGAAGAAACCGACAAAATGAGAAACTTCTGTTTCACGAGGCCCCTACGTGTGGCTTTCTTCACTGGAGAATATTTAACACCGCCAGCACTGCAGAGAAACTCTCTTGGAAGTCTGTTCCAGGGGCATTGTGTCCTCTTCATTCTCCACACAGACATTTGATCTTAATTGTTATGGGAATTCTTTTGTTGTTGTTGTTTAATATTAACAGCAGAGCTGCATTTCCTGGGACATGCTTGCTGACTTTGGCCACTACCTCTTTTCTTACCTTTATACCTCTGGACCTTGAGCTTTTTAATTTTGAGGGATCCACAGTTTGACTAGAGAGCGGCGTGATGGTATAGGTGGGCACAGCTGCATTCCAGAGGGTGCCCCAGGGAATGAACCAACCATGCAATCATGGGGGTTAAGAATCCTGACAGCTGTCTCAGGACTTTGAAAAGAATGGCTTCCTTGTTCCTTGTCTTGATAGGCAAAGGAATCGGCAAACTAGGATTTAGTGTATGCTCAATGAAAGATGTAGTTGAAGAGTTAGAGTACTTGTTATGCTTAAGAGCTCTGGGTCACAGGGAAGAAAATGTTCATGTCTCACAGGGGTGTGTTCTTGGCTTTTTCTTGTTCTTGGGATTTCATATAAGTAAAAACTCAGGCAGTAGTTAATATCTTCTGGAACACTATAGAGAACCAAGCGACCAACTGCATGCAACTGAAATTTTGGAACCCCCTCCATCCCTGGCAAAATGGGATTGTTAGTCACGCTACAGAGGACCCAGCTAGACTGTCAATTGGGTTTGAGTTAGAAAGGCACCTGCCTGGAGTTTGTGTTTAGAGAAAGGGGGGCCTTAGGCTAAGGCATAAATGAGACTAAATCCCAGGGCTGGGACAGCTCTGGGAGTCTTGGGTACTCATACTGCCTTGGTTGATGTGCTGCACCTCCAGACAGTTCAAACCGCTTTTCATTGCTTTCAGATCACATGCTTCCCCTCCATGACAGGCGAACATTCTGAAAGTGGAGAGATTCCAGAGGTCTATGCTTTAATTCCATAGGTCCCAGATCGTTTGTCGCTGATTGTACCCATCTCAATGTTGCATTGAGGCTGTCCCACCATATGTATCATTTTGCATGTTGCTTTTTTCACAACCCTGTCTTTGGGACTGAGCCCGGGTCAAGGCAGGTGGATCTCCTCCTTCCCTTGGTAACTGTTGCTGGATAGCCTGCCACATGAAGGCAGCGATGGCCTATTTTCCTGCTATTTATTTTCACTGCTTTTAGGAACATGCTCATGAAGTATAGCTGGAGTGGAGGAGAAGAGACAGGCCAGCGGTAGACCCTCTTCCAGTAGAGACGCTTGCTATTTTGCTCCAGGCTCTCTGAGACAGGACCTTACAGGCAATGGAGGTCCACTCTCCCCAAGCCGACCCTGCAGCCCCACTTGATGGCCAGTGGCCTGCCGGTGGGTAGGACCTGTCAGATCCCCTGCCTGAACCCAGTGCCCTGCTGGCTCTGCTGTTGTGGATGCCCACAGGCAAGGATGCCTCAAGAACTGGAATGTTCTGAGGACACAGTTTGCATATGTCACAAATTTTGATGTAAATTGCCCTTCAGAACAGAAAAATATGTGCAGTAAACTCATGGTTTGGGGTAGTTGACAAATAAAGACTAAAATTTTGTTATGGAGTTTGTGTGTGTTATTAAACATTCATCTGGGTAACTTTTAAAATACTTCCTCTTGCTGTTATGTCCTTTCAGTGAGGCTGTTCTGGCAGCCTACTTCCTTCCTGGTTGTCATATGTGTCCCTGAAATCAGATCTCAGAGTGTTCAGTTTGTTTTTTTTTTTTTTTTTAAAAAAAAAAAGGCAAATGCTGTTCCCACATTGGGCAGTTCCACCAGGCCAGCTCATGTAAATATGCCTCAGGACAGCGTCTGGTCATCCTTTGCCCCATGGCACCTGCCTCCTCTCCCTTCTCCTGTATTTCAAAAGGTCTAATACTCCTGAGTTGCCAGCATTCTGGATGTGAAAACTAGATGGGAAACTGCTCGTGGATAAGGAGCACAGGGTTTAGGTAGAGTCCCTGGAGGTCCTGACTTCTGCTGTGAACATCACCCCAGGCTTGTTCTGTCCCCAGCGCAGGGGAGAGGGTCTCCCTCCTCAGTTCCAGTCCCACAGGAACACTGTCAAAGAACACGGCTTCAGCTGGTGGTGCTAAAATCCTTGCAACCAAAGGTTATGTGGAGCCATCAGAAAAGTTTGTAGCTTGGATGTAACACCCCCAGAATATTAGATTAGAATAATTTGGAGTTTGCTAAATAGTAACTGAAGGGGCCGGGCGCGGTGGCTCACGCCTGTAATCCTAGCACTCTGGGAGGCCGAGGCGGGCGGATTGCTCAAGGTCAGGAGTTCAAAACCAGCCTGAGCGAGACCCCGTCTCTACCATAAAAATAGAAAGAAATTAATTGGCCAACTAATATATATAATATAAAAAAAAAATCAGCCGGGCATGGTGGCTTGTGCCTGTAGTCCCAGCTACTCGGGAGGCTGAGGCAGGAGGATCACTCGAGCCCAGGAGTTTGAGGTTGCTGTGAGCTAGGCTGATGCCACGGCACTCACTCTAGCCTAGGCAAGAAAGCGAGACTCTGTCTCAAAAAAAAAAAAAAATAGTAACTGAAGGGGAGAAAATGTACTTTCTATTCTCAACCCTCAGAAGTTCTTAGTTGAGACACTCTCCTGAGAACAAAAGTCAGATTAACAAGAGAAAACCCAGCAGATGACAGGTGCTGGGAGGGGCCTTGGTTCAGAAGCCTCTCTTTCAAGGCAGTGGCTTGGGGGCCGGTGCCTAAATGAAATAGTAACTCAGCAAAGAGCCATATATTTTAGCAGAGTGATAAGACAAAGGAGTTCCTGTCTTTTAAAAGGGGAGGAAGTGTGGGAAGGTGGTAAAACCTATTTCCAGATTGCCCTGGTGCCTGCTGGTGCCTTCTCTGGGCCAGCAAGCAAGTTGTCTCCAGTGAGGAAGGGTCCCTGTCCTACCTCAAGCAGGTGGAGGCTGAGGAAGACTGTTCCCTGCATGCTCTGTGTCTTTAATTTATAGTAATCCTCAATATTTGGGGGAGAAATATTTTGTTTTCCTTCAGTTCCCCCTTGAAACTTTCAGAAAGTTTAACATATTAAAAGCCAAGTTGGTAGATTAGGTTAGAGATTTTCAGATAAGAGATTTGGAGAAGGGAGCGGAAAACACAGATTGGAACAAGCAGAAAGGAAAAAAATCTGAATACATTGTCCCGTATTTTATTGTATCAGTCTCTTAGTCCTGAACCAGGTCAGTTGGGTCAAATAGCTGCGCCCTATCTCAGAGGTTATGTTGTGA